GGGCCCGGTTCAGATCCCACATGTGGGCCAGTGATGCTGCGCCCTCTACAGCTAAGATGGTGAACAACAGCTCGACCTGGAGCTGGGCTGCAGTGAGGCACCAGCGATGGCTTAGGCTGCAATGGGGCTGGCCGGCAGCTGGAGTGTGCTTTTGTGAGCTGCTGTGAGCAGTCGTCCAATGACCAGCAAGCGGACTGCCTCATCTGGGAAGAACGGAATGATAATACCAACATGGGACAGTGAAGCAACGTCCTCCATAACTAGACTGAAGAACAAAAGGACAGCAACTTGTCTGTTTCCCTTCCCAATTCCCCAACGCTGTTCCCCTCCCCCAATTCCCCAATAAAATCTTAAAAAAAGAGACGATATAACAATCATAAATATATATGGTGCTTAATAATAGGGTTTTGTAATATGTAAAGCAAAATACGTTAGAACTAAAAAGATAAATACAATCCCCACAGTTATTGTTGAAGATTTTAACATTTGTCTTTCAGTAATTGATAGAATAAGCAGGCAGCATAGCCACAAAATTTGCCAGTTACTGTGGGCAGGCAAAGCAGAGGGGTGGGGAGCCCACAGGGGGCCACAGGGCTGCAGTGTCAGTCTGGACTGTGCAGGACCTGGGGGGTGTGGGACAGTGGTTCTAACACCAGTCACTTGTAAGGGGGCAAGAGCACTGGAGGTCTTCTGCTCGGTCCTGTGCCCAGATGGTGCTAGCATTAGCATTTTCTCAGAGGGGCCAGAAGGGCATCCAAGGGCTTGGGGCAGGAGCCTCATCCTCCCCACCTGCCCTGCTCCCTGGGAGGTATTGCTTCCTGTCCCCCTGGCTGGTGGCCCTGAGGCCAGGCTGACCTTAGCCTCCATGTTGCTCCTAGCTTGCATCCTCCCATGTCTCCTGGGATGAAGTCCAGACTCCTCAATATGGTCACTCCAACCCTGCTGCAGCCCCTGTTTCACTTCCACAACCTCCCGTGGGAGTGTCTCCAGCTATGTAAGTGTGCCACGCTCCCTCCCTCTGCTGGAAACTCTCCTCCTTCGGAATCCTTCTCTTCATCCTACCCTCACACAAGGCCAGGCCACCTGGGTCCCAGATGTCTGACCAGTGGGTTTTTGCCTGCATTGTGTGGGTGCTGACTTTAGTGAAATCAAACTGGAAATTCATTCACAAGCCTTGTGACTCCTTTCTTCAAACATGGGTAATTGTGAGTGAGTGGGGATCTGGAGAACCCATCAGCCTGTTCTGGGCCCTGCCAGCATCTCCAGGGTCAGTTTGCACCTGCTCTTTGCTCTGTCTGTGCTAGTCACACTGGCCACCTTTCAGTCAGCCTCTGGGCCTGTGCACCTGCTGTTCCTGCATCTGGAATTCTCCTACATCCCTCCTATACATAGATAACACCTATTTATCCATTTCTCCAGAAAAACCTTCGCTGACCTCCCTGATTAGGTCAAATGCTCCTTAGGATGTGCCCTCTCAGTGTCTTTTCCTGTGAGGAGTTGTCAAAGCTGTATCTCTATTGTGTCCATCTCTCTCTTCCCCTGTGAGTTCTGCAAAAGCAGGAACCCTGTCTAGTTTTGCACATCATTCTATTCTCCAGCCCCCAGCACAGTGCCTGGGGGCCAGAAAGTGCGCAGCAAATACTGGGTGAGTGAATGGATGGGTGAATGGCTCAGTTCTTGGCCAAGCATGTCAGTGATTCCTCTAGGGGTGACTCTTAGAGAAACTGCAAGGTTTTTTCCAAGGAACTGAGGACTGACTGCCTGTGCCATGTGTTTACCCAGCACTATGTCTTTATAAAGCATCTGGTCCCTCCTCATCCACCCTCTCCAGTACCGGTTCACTAACTGGGCCCTGCCTGGCAGCAATGTTCCACCCTATAAAAACCTTTTATCTTCCTGCCTTAGTGACTTAGACTGTCACTGTGCCTGCAGGTGTGGTATGGTGCTGGTGCTCTCCTAGAAGTCACTGCAGCTACTCCTTTGGGAGGCTAGGAAGTCACTTGGGCTCTGTGGGAGGAAGAAACCAGCGAGTAGTGCCCTTCGACGTAGAAATCCTCTCCTCTTACCTACTGGGCACGGCACAGGAATGGGCTCTGATCCATTAGCAACACTGTCGCACGGCTTCCCGAGCTTACAGGAGGGAAGTCACTTCCCAACTCACAGAGCTGAGAAGCAGCGGTGACAGGAGAGGAACCCAACTCCGTCGGCTCCAGAACCCAGGGCTCTCCTAGCCAGCCAGTTTGCGTGCTTCCAGGGTATGGGGGGCTAGGGAGGTCGACACACTACTGACGTTTCGTGGCGACAGTAGCTGCCCTGCAGGTGAAGAAGAGGAGGAGCCAGGAGACTATTCCCATGAATCACAGTTGGGAAGCTGAGGCCCAGCGGGCCGCACAGGGGCAGATGGCCAGCAGGCCAGGGCACAGACCCTGAAGCGCTGAACTGGATCTGCGCCCCCTCCCCCGACGCCTGCGCACTGCAGTCCTGTTCCCCGCTCAGCCCCGCCCCCACCACCGGGTTTTCAAATTTGAAACCTGCTTCTTTTCCCGCCCGAACGTGTTGACCAGCGGCGGAGGAGGGCGGGGCCGCGCGCAGCCAATAGTGACTCAGAGGCTCCCCGGCCCCGCCCCGAAGGTGACGGCAAGCCGCAGGAGGCGACCTGCAAATGGTCTAGGCCGCCCGCCCGCCCCGCCTTCGCGGCGCCCACGTGCAGCGGCCCGGCCAGGGGCCTCCTGGGAACCACGGGCCCTCAGAGCATCATTCGGTGTGCCCTCGCCACAAGTATGGGCTGGAAACTGAGGCCCAGAGACGCCAAGTAGCCGGTGCCGGATCACTGAGCAAAGTGGGCAAGACACATCACCCCCTAGCCCGGGAGTTGGCCCAAAGGCTGGACCTGGAGCTGGCGCCCGAGGACGCTCTGCGGGAGTCCGAGGGGGCGGGCTGCAGTCCCGGAGCGTTCCAGAGGGGCGGGGCCAAGAGCTGGGCCGTCCAGGGGGCGGGCCGTCCAGGGGGCGGGGCCGTGCGCTAGTGTTTGTAGCACCGTGTCAGTTACATTGTAACAAAAGTGGTGCAGTCGCCCCTCCCGCCTGCGCCCCAGGACAGCCCGCCGCCAGCTGTCGCCGACATGGAACCTGTGGCTAGCAACATCCAGGTCCTGCTGCAGGCAGCCGAGTTCCTGGAACGCCGCGAGAGAGGTGAGGCAGAAGAACCTTTGGCCGGACTCCAGGCGGCGACCTCGCTGACACGGGCCTGGGCTGGACTTGGCTCCTAACTGGAAGGATGCATGCATGGAGTTGGGGCAGTAGTCCCAGGACATCCCTACCCTCAATTAGAGAAGGGTCTGCGGGCGGTTGGGCTGTGAGGGGTTGAGGAAATGGCCCTGGCGCCAAGAGCTCTTCCCTCCCTGACTGTGCCGTTCCAGGGGCGCCTGCTGGGACCAGCCCCAGCCTGACTCGGGTGGGGGCTCTTTCTGGCAGAGGCTGAACATGGCTACGCATCTCTGTGCCCTCACCGCAGTACGGGGCCGATCCACAGGAGGAGGAAGCGATCCCCACAAGCTCCTGGCGCGCTGGACAGTGGGCGGTGAGGAGGGCCGGGGGGGCGACGGAGCGGGGGATGGGCGCCATCCCTTCTCGGGCCTCTCCTCGGCCCACTTCCTCCTTGTTGCTTGCATCTTCTGGGCCAGGTACCCTACTCTGGAGACATTTAGACCCCTCCTGCCATCTCTCCATCCTCCAAACACACACCCTTCTATTCATCCAAGGGCTATTTCTTGAGTAACCCTGGTATGCGAGGAAGTGTGAACAAGACAGTTCTGGGGTCCCGCTTCCACTCACACTCCTACATTCCACATATCAAACCACTCACTTTCCCTCACAGACTTCCTCCTTTTCTCTCCTCATCTCAACCTTTTGCACATGCTGTTCCCTCCAATTTAAATACTTCCCTTCACTACCTGCTTTGGGTAACTTGTGTTTCTGGCTCAGCTCAATTGTCACCTCTGTCCAGGAAGCCCTTCCTGACTGCTGATAGGGGCTTCATTTGGACCCCACAGCCACCCAGGCAGGCCTCTCAGCATTTGCTGCGTCCTCCCCCCCTCCCCCCCAGGACCCATGTGTCTCTGCTTCCATCTGGCAATTCAGGTGCCCAAGGCAAGCACAAGGTCCCCACAATGAGCTAGTTTGGGGCAGGCATCTGTAGTGAGTGGATTTTGAGCCCCTGGGAGCCTGGGACTGAGGGTGTGGGCAGCAGCCGACACTCCTTCACCCCATCCTCCCTGGCATTGGCAGGTCTGTGCACAATGAGCTGGAGAAGCGCAGGTGAGTCCCAGCCCTGCCCTGACAGTACCAGACACCAGGAACAGCTCCCTCTGGCCTGGCCTCCCCTGCCAGCCCTCTGGCTAGCAAGACTGGGCTGGCACTGCCCTCCAGATCCCTTCTCCTGCAGGAGGGCCCAGCTGAAACAGTGCCTGGAGCAGCTGAAGCAGCAGATGCCCCTGGGGGCTGACTGTGCCCGATACACCACACTGAGCCTTCTGCGCCGGGCCAGGATGCACATCCAGGTAAGGGGCTACCCCTGCACCCTGGGGCCAGCTTGCCAGGACAGGTGCAAAGAGATAGTGGGGAGGAGCAGGGTGGAACTGGAGAGAGAGGCCTGAGGTCATAGCCTCAATGTGTGATAAGGAGCAGTTCTCCGTGCTTTTAGTTTCCAAATTTAATTTTTAAATGTGAAGAAAAGCAAAAAATAACTCAGGATTGTTCTGAGGCTTAAGGTTCAGTGTTTGCCCAGTAAATGTTCACTGTTGTTTTTATAGCTACTGGGTCGTCAGGAAAGTCATGACGCATTTTTGCATTGAAGAACATAGAAAATACGTCATGACTTTCCCAACGACCCAATATTACTACTTCCATCCCAACTGTTAGGCCCTGGGCTGGGTACTTAGCCTCTCTGGACTTCCTTTCCTCCTCAGCATGGAGGGCATGGCTGTTGGGTCATGTGTAAGGCCCCCTTGGACTGTAGAGGGCTGGTCCTCACTCTTTTTCTCCCCTGTCCTTCAAGGCCTGTTTTAGGCAGTCTCTCCTGAAGCCACTTTAGAAGGCAGCTCCAGAGGCCAGGAGGGGTAAGACGCTGAGAGGGACAGTCACCCTTGTTCCCAGAGCCCTGCTGCTGCCCCCTGGTGGACATGAGTGGGCTGTGCTGACTCAAAGCTCCAGGCAGCCACAGAAAGTGATGGGATGGGGAGCAGTGTTGGAAATAATAGAGGCCTTTCCAGGCCCTTTTGTCAGAGGAAGAAATGGAGGCACAACCCAGCTCATGAGAGGCAGATTCAGAACCCAGGCCCAGGTCTCCTGACTTGCATTCTTTCCTCCAACAAGTATTTATTGAGCTCCTGCTCTGCCAGGCCCTTCTAGGCACAGGGGGTTGTGGCAGAAACAGATGAATGTGCTATGTGGCAAATAAATCACAGTGTGGCAACTGTCCGCACTGTTCCATAGGTGCCTGAATTCCTGTTATGGTGGCTGAATAACACCATGGCTGGATAGCAGGCCCGTTTCTCACATGGAGCTTGCCTGGCCTGGTTCTTGGATGGTGTGTGCCCCTCAGGTGCTGACTGGCTGGTGGGCAGGACCTGGGGATCGCTCCTTCCTTGAAGCCCTACCACCCCTCTCCTGGACTCCCTGCTTCCTGTTTTGCCTCCACCAGGCTGTCCTGTGCATTGCCTTAGGATGTTCTTTGCATCACATAGATCTGTCCAGGTCCGTCTCCTACTGAAAAACTTCCATGGCTCCTGACAGGACAGTCTCAGGCCTTATTTCCTGTGAACTCAAGGCCCTTCACAACTCAGGCCTTGCCACTGGCCTGCTTTTTTCGTTTCATCTCTTCTCCATTCCCCATAAAAAAGCCAAACTCTCTGTGCTCTTCCTGGTCTCCTTCTGCCTGGCTGCTCCTGCCCACCAATCTTACCCCAGGCAGCTCTTACTCATACTTCTACACCCAGTCCCAGTGCCCCCTTGCCCTGTGCTCTCCTTGTTGACTGACTGCAGGCTCCTGCCCAGAGGACTCTGATGTGAGAACCCTTGGCCTTCCAGTTCCTAGTACTTGGGGCTGGTTGAGCCTTGGTGGGGGTCAGGGGAGATGAATGCTGAAAATTTAGGGATCTTGGGAGGGTCTTGACCAGGAGTTACAAACTGGTAGCTTTTTGTTTAGCCTGTACTTTTCTAAACGTTTAAATTAGTTGGCAGCACTTAAAAGGATATTTGACATGAAACGTGACTTTCCAGCTCTCTTAAGAGAAACTGGGAGATCTGGCAGCACGGGGCCTGTTTCCATGTGGCAGTAATTGGCTGGAATCTGGAGGTGGCCCTCTCTTTCAGCTGGAGTACACACTTACCAGTGTGCCATAGTTCGTCCCTCCCATACCTCTTGCTTGATACCAGCACACGCCACTCCTTCACATCACCTGACTAGGTCCCAAAGGTCTTTGAAATTGTGTTGCTCTCCCTCCCCCACCCAGCTAGACAGCACTCGCAGGCCATTCACATGGGGCAGGAGGGCCTGGAGGATGTGGGAGCCACCCTTTGGGGCCTAGATTTAGTGAGGTCCCCATCTGGAGCAGGCAGTCACCAAGTAGCCATGGCCCGCTCCTGAGTGGTGTTGGGGTGAGGCCCTGGCCCCCCAGGCAGCTGACCACAGCCCCATGCTCCTTTGGGATCTGCAGAAGCTTGAAGAACAGGAGCAGCGGGCCCGGAGGCTCAAGGAGAAGCTGCGAAGCAGGCAGCAGAGCCTGCGGCAGCAGCTGGAACAGCTCCGGGGGCCCACAGGGGTGGGTGAACGGGAGCGGCTGCGGGCAGACAGCCTGGACTCCTCAGGCCTCTCTTCGGAGCGCTCTGACTCAGACCAAGGTGAGTGCCCTGAGGCAGAGGGGTGGGGTGGGCAGCGAGGCCAGGTCTCCTGACTGGACCTGTCCCTGTGCAGAGGAGCTGGAGGTGGACGTGGAGAGCCTGGTGTTCGGGGGTGAGGCAGAGTTGCTGCAGGGCTTCAGTGCCGGCCAGGAGCACAGCTACTCGCACAGCGGCGCCTGGCTATGACCTCCAAGGCCCCAGACCACCCGCTGCTCCACTCGGCCAGGCAGGAGCCCTCCCCAATCCTCTAGGGCTGCTTGGAGTCACCTCCTGTTGTAATGGACTAAAAGGACCCTTGTATGGGAACAGGTGCTCTCCCCTGGCCCACTGCGGCCACAGTCCCTGCTGGGGGAGGGGGCTTGGCCTCCCCTGAGCCCTGCAGGCAGGCTGCTTGGGCCTAGGCTGCCCTTCCAGGTGATTTTTTTTTGTAGCACTTGGCTCTGCTGTCCCCATGGGGACAGGAAGCCTCTTGGACCCTCATGTTCCTTTCTAGACAAGGCTGCTGGCCTTTACCCCAGATACTGTACAGTATTTTCATTAAAAGACTCTTTCTTAACTTCCTGCCCATGGTTTTGCCTGAAAATGGGGTAACTCCCAGCCACAAACCAGGAAAGAGGAAATGATCCACCACTAACACTGTTGCCTGTGCCCAGCAGTGCGTCTTTAATCTTCATAGCTCAGGGGCCATCTGTCCTGACTTTGTAGGTGGGACTGAGGCTGAATGATCTGATTTGCCTGAGGTCCAAAGCCAGCAAACAGTGGAGTTGAGATTCGAAGCAAAGCTTTCTGACTCCCGAGCTGGGGCTGACTGAATTCAACAAGTATTTATTGAGTGCCTATTATGTGCTAGTATTGTTCCAGATACTTGGGACATATAAGAGAACAAAACAAAGGTAACTGCCCTCATGGAGCTTACAGTCTAGCATTTATGATCACTTTGCCTGCATGCTATCTGTGACGCTGGGTAAGTCATGGCACCTCTCTGTGCCTCGGTCCTGTGCTGCCCGATGCAGGAAACAGTAGACCTTGCCCAGATGTAGGTAACGTGTCCGGTGCATGTAGATGCCAAACAAGACACCACCCCCAAGCCACCACCTAGAGAGCAGAATGGGCTGGAAGTTGACGTTTAATAATAAACTACAGGGGGAAGGCAGGGGATTGGAGCTGGGGAGTCTGGTGTGCTGCCACACCAGGACCTGGGCTTGCTACACAAACTGCCGCTGCTGCTGCTGCTTCTTAGTGGCTGCCTTGCTGGCAAGGTCCTTGGCCTTCTCTGTAGCTGCCAGTGCTGTCTCCTTTGCCTTCTCCTTGGCTTCCTTGGCTGTCTCAACAAGGGTTTTGGAAGGGGCCTCACCTGCAGCAAAGGGCAGGGGGCTGGCTTCAGAGGATGCCAAGAAGACCCACACAATCACTCCCCGCAACATTCACCTCCTGCAGGCCAGGCCCCATTGGAAAGGGGGCATTTGCCCCAGGGCACACAGAGGAAGAGTTCCAGGCTTAGAACGGGGCAGTGACAGTCCCAGGCTCCACACCAGTCAGGGCAGCTAGGACTTGACGCCAGCCTCTGCCTGGGAGGTTCCCCCGAGCAGTGCCCAGAACTCTTACCTTGCAGCTTGGCCAAGATATATTCAAAACCCTTCATTGTCTTGGTCACATTGCTTTTGAACCGGGCGAGACCAAATTCCTGGCAAAAGGTGAGAAGGGAAAGGATTCTGAGCTGCCCATTGACCCCCAGCCCAGTTTCTATATCAAATGCCCTGGAGCCCCAGCACCCCCACAATGCTGCTTACCTGGACGGCTCTGGAGACACCAAATAAACTAGAGGAGACCCAGGCTTCCCGGTGGATTTCGGTCCAGCCGCTGTTATCAGAGTTCACACAGTAAACACATCGTTCCTCCACCACCTATGCAGGGAGCAGGCCAACCACAATCGTGTGCCAGTCTTTCATTTTGTCAACTTGACATAAATTTGATCCCCTACTTCTTCATGAGAGAAAGCAATAAAATGAAAGTTCATTCCTTTACCTTATTGCATCCCAAGCTGCATTTACAAAAAGAGCAAGAACGGAAATCTGGTCATTTTGCTCCCTACAACTTCTACTCTGACCATTAAAACTAGAAGGCACATGGACTCTGCTGAGATCAGCAAAGGGCCTTCCAGCTCCACCATGGCCCTGAATTTTGCTTTGTACCTTTATGTCTAGATGTGTGCAGTGTTTTTAGCCTGCCTTTCACCCGATGCAGCTCTTGAGCTCCCTAGCAGTCCAAATAAAAATGGAAATCTGGCAATTGTCAGATTTCCAGAGAGGAGAAAGTGGACCAGTGCTTCCAAGAGAAACATTTCAAAGACCTGTCTCACAGGTGGACTGAGAGACATTTCTCACAGCAGGCTCACTACCTGGGTAATTTAGGAAACACAGAGGTAGTGCCCAAGGTAGTCTGCTGTGAGGCCTTCGGGTAACTCTGGGGAAGTATACTAAGCTGCCTGCCCACTCTGTAACCTTGTAGGGCACTTCCCCTCTCTGAGATTCACTTTTCTCTTTGCACAAGAAAGAGTAACACCCACCTCCCAGGATTATTGTGAAGATTAGCTGAGAAAGAATAAAAGTTTTCTCAAAGCTTCAGAGTACTCATATGTGGGAAAATGCTGTAGAATGTTCCTTAAACCGTGGCTTTTCAAGCTTTAAAGGCAAGAGATCAAAGGTATATAGAACCCTCTTGCCCCCAAATCTCAGGCAGAAGTTCGTAAGACACCCGAGTGTGAGTCCTCTAGCCACGTGAGGTAAGAGGCCCAGATCCTCTAGGAACCCTTATGGCTCGATGGATTCCTGTTTGAAAACCACTGCCTCCCTCCCTCAGCATCACTGGCTCCCTAGCCACATGTACCCAGAACTCTACTTCTGAGGGTGGGGTGGTGGGGCCAAGGGGGTCTCACCATCAGCCGGCTGTGGTTGATGTTCCAGGTGAAGGTGGTCATGGTCTGGTTCTGAGGGTCCACAATAGAGTCTTCCAGGATGTACACCGAGTGAGCAACATTGGCAGGAAACAGTCGCTCGGCCCAGCGGGGCATCCTGTTGGTCTTGGTCAGGAGTCTCCGGGACAGGAGCTTCTGGTCAGGGGTCACCTCCCGGTGCACTATGTCTTCCGTCAAGACATGTTTGCTGCAGGTGTCAGAGTAAAGGTGACCCTCGGGAGCCCGCCTCTGAGAGACTGCCCGTTGGAGTTCCCATCTGGAGCACCCTGGCCAGAATGGCCAGGCCTTCCCCGAACTTGCAGAGTGATCTGTGTTGTGGCTCAGACCTGAAGTAGAGTCGCTGGAACCTATCCCAGGGCAAATTCCAACTTCTGCCCCCTCGCTGACCTGGATTCCTGGGAATTCCAGCAGGGCTGGCCTTCCTGGTTTACTGCACCGCTGGAGAGCGCCACAGGCAGAGGAGTAGGCGAGCGCTCAAAATTCCAACCTCAGGATCCCTCCCAATTCCTGTGCCGCAGCCTCTTCCTGTCTCATTACCCCGAGATGAGAGACCTTTAGACTAGGGCCTCAAGTAAATCGCCGCCCAGGCCCAGTCTCCTTCCAGGACCTTGCAGGCCTGGCCTGCCCGCTTCCCGATAGGTCCCTCTTGCCCTAAAGACTGCCACGGTTCCGGCGATCCCCTACCTCGGACTCGACGTCGAGTCCTACCCGGCCCCACACTTCAATCTCCAAACAGAGAGGGGGGAGCCAGGCTACATACCTATAGGGATTCGGGTACCGCTGCCAGAAGGCAGCGAACACTTGGTCCCAGGAACTCCGGAGCACGCTCTGGCCCAGGAAATACTTCACCATTGTCCGGGCCGGGGCGGGCTCAGCACCCGCGCAGCATCAGGGGTGCAGAGCCCGGGGGGCACGCGGAGGGCAGGCCGGGGCTCGGCGCCCGCCCGCCAGGCTCGCAGCTCAGTCACCACCGTGCCGCGCCCCGCCAGCCGCCGGCATGAGGAGTTGTCAGGCCACTCGCCACTTCCGGCGCAGCCGCGTAGTCCTCACTACTTCCGGCGCCTGCACACGTGATCCGAAGCCCGCCCCCTCGCCCTCTACCCTACCCCCCCACCCCC